ATCAACCAACAGGTTCTAATCAACACTAATAGAACATTCCACCCAACAACAGCAGAATACATATTCTTTTCAAGTGCTCATGGAACATTTACCAAGATAAACAATATTCAGGGCCATAAAACAAACCTTAACAAATTTAAAAGAATTAAAATCATACAGAGTTTTTTTCCTGACCACAATGGAATGAATGAAACAAAAAATCAATACCAGAACAATAACAGGAAAACCTCTGAACACTTGGAACAAAATAATACACTTCTAAAATAATCTACAGGTCAGTGAGGAGGTCTCAAGGGAAATAAAAAATTCATTGAACTTAATGGAAATTGAAATAAAACATGTCAAATTTTACGAGACACTGCTAAAGTAATGCTGAGAGGGAAATTTATAGCACTAAATGTATACATGAGAAAAGAAGAAGATTCTCAAATCAATCAATTAATTTCCCTTCTCCAGAACCTAGGAAAAGAACGATAAAATAAACCCAAAGTGAGCAGAAAGAAGGAACTAATACAGGTAAGAGCAGAAATTACTGAAATCGAAGATAGAAAAACAGAAAGTCAGTGAAACAAAGATCTGGTTCTTTGAAAAAAAAATCAGTAAAATGTACAAACCTCTAGCAAGACTCACACACAAAAAAGAGCAGACCCAAATTATCAATATCAGGAATGAAACAGGGCTGAATCACTATAAACCCTGAAGACACAGAAAGAATAATAAGGGAATACTAGGAAAGGCCTTATACACATAAATTCAACAACTGAAATGAAATTCACCACTTGCTCAAAGAATACTAACTACCACAACTCAGCCAATATTAAATGGATAATTTGAATAGTCTTGTAAGTATTAAGGCAATTAAAATTACAATTTAAAAAACCCCTTAAAAGAAATCTACAGATCCAGATTGTTTACTGGAGAATCCTACCAAACACCAACTTAATACAATCTCTTTCAGAACACTGAAGGAGAAATGACTTTTAAATTCATTCTCTGAAGCTAATATTACCCTAATATCAAAGTCAAAGACAGACCAAAGAAAAAAAGAACATTTTAGACTAATACCCTTCATAAATATAGACACAAAAATTCTTTTTTTTAAATTTTTGTTGTTGTTTTGTTGGGGGGATAGATTATTAGGTTCATTTATTCATTTTTTGATGGAGATGCTGGGGATTGAACCCAGGACTTTGTGCATGCCAGACACGTGCTCCACCACTGAGCTACACCTACCCCCCCCAAAATTCTTAATACTAGCAAATAGAATTCAGCAATATATAAAAAGTATTATACACTATGACCAAGGAGGGCTATTCCAGAGAAGCAAGGCTAGTTCAATATTCAAAAAGCAAATCATTGTAATCTACCATATTAACAATCTAAACGGGAAAAATCACATGTTCATATAATTAATGCAAAAAAAGCACTTGATAAAATTCAATACCCATTATTTAAACACACACACACACACACACACACACACACACACACACACAAACTCTTAGAAAAATAGGACTAGAGGAAAACTTCCTTAACTTGGCAAAGAGCAGCTACAGAAAACAGGCAACAACATTATATTTAACTATGAATGACTAATGTTTTCCTCATGATCAAGAACAAGGTAAGACTATCTCAGCACTCTTACTCAGCATAGTGCTGGGAGTTATAGCCAGTGCCATAAGGCAAGAAAAAGTAATAAAAAGCATATAGATCAGAAAGTAACAAATAAAATTCTCCCTATTTTCAGATGACATGATTGTCTACCTAGAAAATCCCAAGGAATCTACCAAAACAAAACAAAAAAACCTCCTACAACTAATAAGTGAGTTCAGCAAGGTTTCAGGATATATGACGAACACACAAAAATCAATTATACATCTATATTCTAGAAATGAATATGTGCATACAGAAATTTAAAATAAAATACCTTTTACGATCACTGAGAAAATAAGAGTTATATTTAAATCTAATAAAACATGTCTAAGACTTGTACCCTGAAAATTATAAGAATGCATTAAAAATGATAAAACACATAAAAAGAAATAAAAAATCTAAATAAATGAAGAGCATGTTCATGGGTTGGAAGACTCAGCCTAATAAAGATGACAATTCTCCCCAAATTGATATACCAATTTAACGCAATTCCCATCAAAATCCTAGCAAGATGTTTTATAGAGATATACAAGATTATTCTAAATTTTACACAGAAAGGTAAAAGGAACTAAAATTTTCAGAAAGAATAAAGTGGAAGGAATTAGTCTACTTGATTTCAAAACATATAGCTATAGTAATCAAGACCCTGTGATATTGGTAGAGGGATAGACAAATAAATCAATAGAACAGAAAACCCAGAAATGAGATCCACATAAATACATCCAACTGATGGTTGACAGTGGTGCAGAAGCAGTTTAATGGAGGAAAGAACCATTATCCTGTTCAACAATGGCACGACAGCAAGTGGACACCCGTAGGCCAGGTAGGAGGCCAGTGCAGTCAGTCACACTTGGGAGAGATGCTAGTGGCTTGGACCAGAGAGGGGCCTGTGGAGAGGGTGAGAAGAGGCAGGCTACAATGGGGACAAACTTGATTCAGAAATCTTAAAATACACTGGCCTTCATTCAGAAACTGGGACTTTCCAATACTCTCTTGCTCTCCTGGCTTGGCCCAGTTTGAACTCATTTGATTTTCGTTCCCTAGAGATGCCTTTGCCCTTCCCCCACACCTGACCCAATCAGAGAGGAATGCAGCATGCAGAGATAGCTGGTTGTCTTTCTTCCCATTTATAGAAATAAACTAAGCTCTCGTTTTACTCAAAGTAAAAAGAATAGTGAAAAAAGAGGAGAAGCTCTTTTCTGTCCTTGGGAACTCTCACCACCTAGAGCTATTGGTATGTACCATGAGGAATAAATCAATCAGGTAGTCAGAATGCGATTTGAAGCGTTTAAAGAGTGAACCCTAAAACAAACCCAGAGCTGGTTTCACGCCCCCCAGAGGGAATATCCAGATGATTCTGAGCACTAGTGCACCTCATTGAGTGGTCCCCATACCGACAGAAAGGCTTGACTTTATCCCACAGCCAGGGAAACAGAAGATGCCTCCAGGCAATCCGACCCGCATTTCCTTGGGTGACCGCTAAAGGCAATCTCTCCTGAGAGGCCGAAATGGATTAATTCTCCAAGCGCTAAATCCATCAATGCAATCACTGTAACAATCCCTCCACCCACAACGGGAGATAAAGTTCCAGCCCATCCCTAAAAAGGTGCAGAGATTACTCATTTATGTGCAAAGAGCAGAACAGGAAATGTCTCGGCTAAACCAGAGGAAACTGGTCTGGGTGGCTCAAGGTCCCGCGTCCCTGGACAGCGAGGGGCAGAGCGCGCTTCGGCTCCAAACCGGCAGGACAAGTTAAAGGCTCCCCAGCCCCGCGCCACACTCAAGGCCAATTCTTCTCTTAAAAGATTCAAAAACAAAGGTTGGTAAACAGAGGGGACGATCAGCCGCACAAAGACTTTCCGGCAGCGTCACGTCACTGGAAAATGTTAAGGAATCCTCTCCTGATTATAGACGCTCTGACGGTGGCGCGAATCACTGGCTGAACCGGGGGCAGAAAGCCGGAAGCTGCCCATGCACTAAGGGCAGCGTGGCTCCTTGGGCTCTTTACAGTCTGCTTTCAAAACGGCTCCCAAAAGCTTGGCCCTACAACGAAGAGTGCCTTATGCTGTGACTGAATGAGTTAATCCATGTAAAGTGCTGAGAGCAGCACCTGGCACCAAGCAAGAACTCAATAAAGATTAACTATCTTTGCTAATAATATTCGTTCATGCTTTTCCACTAAGAAATTACTGCACTGATGTTTGCGCTTACGTTTGTCTCTTCCTTATGCATTTGTGCTCCTAAGTGTCTTATTTGTATCATGCATTTCAGAGCCTGGGTCTGTGCTGGGCTCAATAAAAGTTTGTGGTTTTAATGGGATTGTTCACTCATTGGCATCACCTTGCAGAGATGATAGAAATGAAAAGAGGGTGGTGAAATAAGAGACAAATGAAATCTGAGTTTCCTTTACCTCTTCACCCTATGTTTCTTCATAACACTCCTTGTTTATGGGGCTGTCTGGGACATTTGGTCTGCTGGGAATTGGTTCCACTTGAACCTCAGTGGAACCAGTGACACTATTTGCCAAGCACAGTTCAAGATCAACCAATTTTGATATCACCTGGGCCCCCCCAGGGAGTAGATCTCATAGTGAATACACAGAAGTGCCTTAGCTCAAATGCTATGAGCAGATTTGTTTGAGAACTCTACACTATTGCCTCCAACAGGTGCTTCTTGACATACACAGAATCAATAATAGTAATAGCGAAAACAATAACAACCAACATTTGCTGAGCACTTATTATTCACTGTGCTAAACACTTTCATATACTACCACGTTTAACCCAACCAACAAGAGAAAGTATGTGTTCTGTTATTCTCATTTTTATCAGGTGAAAAAATGAAGGCACAGGAGAGTCACAGTGAGCCACCTACTTAAGGTCACACCACCAGTAAAATGGTGAGATTCGAACCCAAGTTCATGACTCTCCAAACTCACTCAGGTAACCACTCACACCTACAGTGACCCCTGGCCACACAGCGCAGTCTGAAGCACAGCAGTGCAGAGTTGGTTCTCTGCAGGGCAGTGCGTGTGCCTCCCGTGCCCCTGTCTTTCTTGTCCCCACAACATAGCACTGCAGCCCAGCATATCTCATTCTCTATAAAAGACCCCAAATATTTCTTTCCCTCTGCCCCTGGTAACTGCCACACTTAGCACATGCCTTAAAACATGCCTCTGGTTTGTAACTTATGCCTAAGGACACTGTTCCCATTTTCTTTCCTGGTGGGACAAAGGCATGGAAGCCACAGGTTATGGAGGCAAAGCATTTATTGATTAGATTCTATCAATAATCACCCTCTGCCCAAGATTAAACTTGGCCTCTTTCCTCTTTGCCTTTGCTCCTCCTCCTCTAATGTATAACTAGTCTCAGAAGGCTGGAGAAAGACAGGCAGAGGCTGGCTACTGCATCTGCCACACTCACTACAGGACCTGGAATTAAGAGGAGGACTCTCAACACATAAAATGGCAGAAGATAAGGTAAAGTCGTATTATGTCCATTCGAGGACATGAATAGGGTAATCCGTTCAAGTCAGTGAGCGTGCTGAGGCTCTGGGGTATGATAGGAGTAGCTACCACAGATCAAAGCTACCTCTCTTGGCCAATTGATAGTTTAGCTGCTGAAAAATCGTATTTCTTTTTCAGTAGTTGGGATTTTAAGAATATTAGCTCTGTTTCTGACTAGTCTGTGTAATGTTTTCTCAAGTGGTACTGCATAATCATATCACTGAAAGAATGTGAAAAAAACAGGCATATTAAATCTAATTAATCATGAAACTGCTATGAAATCTCAGAAAGTATCAATATATGAAAAACAAGAGGTAGGACTGTTCCAGGAGACTAAGAACTGACAATGCAACAAGTGATCTTAGACGGTGGAAGGAAGAAGAAAACAGATCTCAGGGACAATACGGGGACAATGAGACATTTTGAAAATGATATATTAGGTAATAATAGATCTACTACATTCTTGGATATGATAGTGCTATGGTAATTATGTGGGAGAATACCTTATTCTTAGTGAGTACATGCTGAAGTGTTTAGGAGAGAAGTGACACAAATGTCTGCAATTTATATTCAATTAATTCAGCCAAAACAACACACACACACACACACACACACACACAGAGTTAAACAAATGTGGTAAATGTTAACCATCGGTGAACACAGGTGAAGGTTATGGAGTGTTCACTGCACTGCTCTTTCAACTTCTCTGCAGATACACTTTTCAAAGTAAAACCTTGAAAATAAAAAGTGTACTGTGCTATTGCTGCATTATAAGTGTTCTGCAACCAAGCATACCCACCTCTGCACACAGTCATACAAGTAGGGAAATGGGTGGCCCAGTTAGAGTAGGACCTGTAAGTTCTGATCCGCTGTAACTTACACTGCTGTAAGTGACAAGGCTAGGAGCACGGGTTTGGCAGCCAGCTGCCATGGATTTGGAATGTGGCAATGCTACGTACCTCCGTGATACTGGGGGTAAGTTATTCAATTGATCTTGGGTTTTCTCGGTTGTGACAAAATGAAAACATATGGAGATATAAGGATATAGCAGGGATTATAATAGTTCTTTACTGTATGGGAGTAATTAAATGAGGTAATGTTAGAGAAACTCAGGTAACAAACATTTGAATGTCAATAGTTATATATTTATATAATGTGTGTTTAAGGAATAACCCAGACTTCATGGTTTCCTATTACAGCTCAGGATAAAGCTAAAGTAGTTAAAACTTTAAAGATAATACAAAGACTATAATAACTATACCTATGGTATGTTGATTTGACAAAAATCATGAAGGTAGTGTTCAAACAACTGAAGTCTGGCAGATACTCCAAGAGGGAAGGTAACGTGCTTACCACAGTGCCTGGCACATAGCAGTTGCTCAAGCTTCATTTAGAACTATCATTAAATTCCCTTACAGCCTTTAGAAATTGCGTTCTAGCACTTTTCTTGAGAACTGAGAAATTGGCTAGTAAGAGAGCCCAACAGAATGAGGACTGATGTAAAGCATAATGTTTCAGCTTTGTAAATCTACCTAGACTTAAAAGAAGTGAACTAAGCAGGAGACTGAGAGTCAGGAGACCTGGGTTATCAGTCTGGATATACCCAGGAATGCACTCTGTAATTCAGACAAAGGACTTGGACTCAGGTTCTTCAACTGAAAAAGGGAGAGATCAGACTAGAATCCATTGCTCTCAAAGGTTCCTTTCAGCTTGAAAATTCTATGGCTTGAGAAGCTCCTGGACTTTTCCAAAGCTGAGTGCAAGATCACCTTTGGGTTGGCGTTCATGGTATGTGGTGTAGAGGAAACAGTATAAGCATCTCTTCCCTACCTACTCAATCAATAGCTGCTGAAAGCCTGCTTTTTTTGTTTAGCAATGGGAGTTTAAAATTGGAACCCTTGGGTTCCAATACAGGAGTATTTGTTATTCTCCAGCTGTGAGTGTTAGGTATACCACTTAATCTCTGGGCCTTGATTTCCTCACCTGTAAAATGGGAATAATTTCATGTACTTTATAACACTGTTGTGAAGATTATTGGTGATGTCTGAAAAACTGACAGCTGGTTGTTTGGCAAGAGTGATGAATGATGGGATTAAAGATCAGTTGTTTTCAGTTTTGATAGGAAGACCACATTATGTATCTTACACATTATATATGATAATCTTACGCATTAACTATTATTATATACTTTTTTCGGCAAAGAAACTGAGGCTTGGGGATGTTAAGGGCATAGCTGAAACTCTTCTAGGTTTTCTGACTGCCAAGCCTACTTGTTTTTCCTAATAGACCCCATCTGACTTCAAAGCCACAAAATAAATACCACATTTTGTTTTATGTTAAGGTTCCGCCGCTTGCCCATTCTACTCTTCTACATTCATCCAACTGCACATTTTAATTGGATATATAACCTAATTTCTCTAACAAAATTATTAAGCTCCAAATGAAGGTAGTCTTTCTAAAAGAATAAGCTTAATGCCTTGTTGCTATGAAGAGGTTGAGAGAAAAGACTGTATCTTCTGCCACTTAGTGGATAAACAGCCTTTGGATGAATTCCTTACTTTCCATATCTATCTTCCCATATGTGAAATGGTAATAATAATTCTTACCTACAGGGTTGTTGAGAGAACAGGCAAACCACTTAGAACCCAGAGCATGGACAGAGTGAGGTCCTAAGTTCTCACTGTTTTCGTTAGCTCCTATGTACCTACCCTTAGGTCAGCCTTGACATTAAATTGGACATTTAATGTAATGGATGAGGGTTGATGAACTAAAATTCAGAAGTAGTAGTTTCCAGAAATTTTGTATCTCATAAAACTTTCTCTGACCAAGTCTAACCACACAGAAGCCCGACTATAAATGTTAGCTCTTTTTGTTTCATAATGGAAAAACAAAAGATAGGAAGCAAGGAGCCAGTTTAAAATGGAGTTCAGAGAGGAAAATTAAACCTGAAAGTAAGAGGTGCCAAACAAACAAACAAACAAACAAAATCCAATCAAATAGTTCCAGAGACTGATATGTGAAATGATCACTTTAGCTGAGAATTCAAGTGATAAATGAAGTTTCTCCTTATCTGACCAACTGAATGAAATTTCTATCTCAAGGGGTTAAAACGGGAACTGCAGATCATGGGGTGGCAGGACCAGAGTCAAGGCTGAAAAAGAAGCCAGGGAAACCAGAAGACAAAGACTTTAAGAACACCCTAAGAGAATTCGAAAACTGCACCTCTTGGGGAGTGTTGGAAATGGTAGCTATCTTGATTGTGGTGGTGGTTTCATGTGTGTATACATCTATCAAAATTCATCAGATTGTACATCTGGAATATACGTAGATTACTGTACAGGAACCATACCACAAAAAAAGTGTTTAAAAAAAAAGAACACTCTAAGATTTCTAAACATTTAAAACCTCTCCTATCTCCTTCACAATGGCTTTTTTGCTGTTAGGGGCAGCTCCAGTATTTCTATAGTAATGACTGAGAACGATTTGATCAGGAGATAATGGGACAGGAGCTAGACAGACCTTCTGTCTCTGAAAATTAACTTTCATTTTTGTCAACGTAATGTAGGAAAAATTAACCCTATTGTAACTGAGACTGTGTATGTGGAGTGGCAGAGCAAGGCTGATGGAGATTATGGGGGACCCAACCTGCTGCAGCCACCACCTTCAGCCCCAACTGCCACTTCTGTAGCACCCCTGCTCAGCATTGCCATGGTCACTGGTTGAGCTCAAAATAAGAGGAAATGAACTATATGCTTGTCCAGGGGGGACAGGAGGAGAGAGCCAGCAGAGAGTAGAAGCCCAGGGGTGGAGTGGGAGGGACAGTCACTTAGACGCCGAGTGCTTGGAGACTCTGCCAGAGGAAGAAAGGGAGATGCAGGGATGAACTGGGTGAGTATATCGTGGCCCTGGGCTTGGTGGTGGGCAGGACCTGAGGTGGTCCTTCAGGTGAGTTACAGGTGAGTGGTTGAGTAGCCATTCTTTGTTATTTTCAACTTTTGTCCAGAGACTTCATGAAAGTTTTCTCTGGGTGTGTGAGGAAGGTGGGGATTTGTGTAGTGAGTGGCTGGAAAATGGAAAATGCACTTGTGGAAACGGAAATGGAAAATGTGACTTTAGTATCACAATTGGCAATTTCTATTAATATGTGCACTCTCGGATCTTTTTTTCAGTTTAGAAAAATTAGGATCCTGTATTTTCAGATATGTTTGGTTTTTGACTGTTTGTTTTTGACCAATGAGAAATGCCAAAGAACCAAGCAATTAAGAGTATAGATCCTGAATCCAAATCTTTATTTTACAAGTTACTGGCTGTGAGACCTTAACCTAGTTATCTTAGTTATTTTAACTAAGATAACCTAGTTATTTTATAGGGATATCAGTATCCTATAAAATAGGGATACTAATGGTGCTGTCATCAGGAGTGTGGTTGGCAGAATAATGGTCCTCAAAAGATGTCCATGATCTTGTCCCCAGAACCTATGAGTATGTTACCGTACATAGTAAAAAGGCCTTTACAAATGTCATTAACTTTATGGACCTTGAGATAGGGAGACTCTCCTGGGTTCTCCAGATGGACCAAAACTAACTTCACAAATTCTTAAAAGGGAAGAACTTTCCTGGCTGTGGTTAGAGTCAGAGAAATGGAACAAGGGGCTTGACCAGCCTATTTCTGGCTATGAAGATGGAGGAAGGGCACCACTACCCAAGGAACGTTGTGGCCTCTAGAGCTGGGAGCGGCCCTTGCTTTAAGCCAGCCCAAACCCTGGTCCTACAACCATGAGGAACTGAAGTCTACCATCAGCCTGAATTTTTCCCTACAAGCCTCCAGAAAGGAACACTTGCCGACACTTTAATTTTAGTCTAGTGAGACTTGTACCAGACTTACGAGCTATAAGAACTGTAAAAAACTGTAAAATAATAAATCTGTGTTATTTAAGCCACTGCTTTTTTGGTTATTTGTAATAGTAGCAAGAGAAAACCAGTAAATGAGATGAAACACATAGAGCATGCAATAGGCAAAATACTCAGTATCAGGCATTGAAGCTTCAATACATATAAATTATACCAGCTATATATGTATTTGGTTACCCCTCTGGACGAAGCTGTCCCAGACTTTCACAGTGTAGGGGAGATGAATGGTGCCCCCACTCCCATAAGAATGTACCCTGCCCTGCCGGGAGCGCAGGACACGTGGTGAATGAGTATCAAGGGGCAAGAATCAGCCTGTGGAGCCTGTGAGAAGTCCACGCTGCATGGGACAATGGGTAACTGAAATTTCCTGGTGTGTCCCAGCCCTGTGCTCCATTCCCCACAGGTCACCGGGACCTTGGTTTTTGCTGTCTTCACTGCCGTGCTGGCTTCCTTCCAGTTTGGATACGACATTGGTGTGATCAACGCACCTCAACAGGCAAGTGAAACATGTACAAGTTCTCTTTTTGGCAATTTCTACCAGTGACAGAAAGATACCTGCTCCTCATCCACAGAGATAAAGGGTGCCCACGTGGGAACACGGGGTAGTCCCGGTCTTCTGTCAGGAGCCACATGCATGGTTCCAAAGCTGATAACTTGGCCTTGACTCCTCATGTAATAGCCCTCGCAGAAAAAGAAGGGTAATAAACAATTCTTGATCTCTGATTCTGTTGTTTGCTGAGCTCACAGAAAACTGCAGTCAGAATACCACATGCCTCAGGATTTTTTTTTTTTAAGCTTAACAGCTTATTGCAGCACACATTCCAGAGTTCCCGGTCATACACAGATGGAAACGCCAGGGAATAAAAGGAAATGATGGAAGAGCAGGGTTTTCTCGGTGCACAAACATACTGAGCACCAACTCACTGTGCGTCAGGCACTTTAACATATGCTCTCCCCAGTCTCACTCACCCAGCAACATTATTGTGCCCATTTCTTGGCCACATCAAAATATTTAGGAGCCCCAGCAGTGGGTGGTGGGGGTTGTTGGATGAAGACAGTCAAAAGGTATAAACTTCCAGCTATAAGGTAAATAAGTACTGGGGATGTAAAGTACAACATAATAAATATAATTAACACCACTGTACGTTATGTATGAAAGGTGTTGAGAGTAAATCATAAGAGTTCTCATCACCAAAAAAAAAGACAAGCAAAAACCCCTTAGGAGCCCTAACACTAGTCCTTCCCCCGACTCTTGTCTCCCATAGGTGACTCAAAGCAAAATAATACAAAACTGTATAACAGTTACGAAGTCCAACAAAGTCTGGATTTTCTCCATGATGACTATTTGGATGGGTATTTTTTTAATATTGAATAATTGCTATCATTTTTCTCACTTATTTTGTGCATCCCTACTCTGGTATCTAGTGAACAGGCAGGAGAGGGATGTCATTGCTCTCAGCTCCCACAGCCTGTAAATGGGTGAATCAGGACTCCATTCTTTCTTCTCTAATGCAGACTGTCAGGTCATTGAGGGTGAGGTTGTAGTCTTGACCCTCTTCCTACCACCAGTGCCAAACATAACAATTGATGTAAACAACAAAGTGTTTAGTGAATGAAGGAGAGAGACACACACACACAGAGAAGAGAAGCTGGGGGAAGGAGTGGCATAAGGTGACAGTAAAAGCAGTTGCTGGGCGCCATTTATGAATCCATCATATTTCATCTGCTTCTCTTACAACATTGAACTCTAAGGAAAATGTAAGATTCTACAAGGCGTGAGTGTGTGAAATATGTACAGTCCATCACATGAAAAGGGTTGCTCCTGGGGCTGAGGCTGTGCTCTGGTTGGGCACCCACATGTCATGAGTGTGGCAGGCTTTGCCTGGGCTGAGGGATTTAGGGAATAACGCTGGAGGTCACGTCTTTTTTCTGTGGGTGATGACAACACACGCCAATTTAGCAGGATTCCTGAAATTTAGCGCAATATCACCATAATTTGGAAGTGACAGAACCTCTTCTCATGGGAGAACTTTTTATAATTTAAACCATCTTCTTCAATCTTAGAGGGAAAAATAATCTAAGGTTTCCCCTCCTCCAATCCAAGTCCTAGAGCCAGACCTGAGAAGAGAGTCTCCCACTGGCAGCTGGCTTAGTGCCCTCTCTATAGCCCCTCCCTTCCGTATTTAAAGAGCTGCTCATCTGGAAAAGACGAAAACTCTAACTTGAAAAGATACAAACACTCCAATGTTCACAGTAGCACTATTTATGACAGCCGAGACGTGGAAGCAACCTAAATGTCTATGGACAGATGAATGGATAAAGAAGCTGTGGTGTGTATGCATGTATGTATGTGTGTGTGTGTGTGTGTGTATTTATAAATATATATATATATATATTTAAATTTTGTATACTAACTTTATTTTTGGCCTATCTTACCTTTCCCAATCTTTTTTCTCATATCCACTTCTATGTTTCTATTAAAATATTTAGGGAAGCCAATTTGGATCCTGCTTTGCAAGGGTAATAGTGGAGTGAAAATGTTATCTTTTCAGCCTGCAGAATATTTTCAATTTGAATAGTTGCCAACCTTTAAAACTTAAGGAATTTTACATAAAAATCCATTATTTCTGGCTTCTCTTTTAAAAATTAAAGCTCACAAAACATTAGTCTCACATTGCAGCTTCCTTCTTTATACGGGACAAATAAACCCTGCCCACTCGCTATCAAATTCTCAGTAATACAGACGGTTTTTCAGTGCTCTGGTCATCAAGGTTCTTCTTGCCTCCTTCACTTGTTTGTTCCTGCCTGGTTCCTGCTGACACTGAAATCTGTAACCTCTATTTTATAGGATATGATCAACTGTAAATAATCTATATGTGTTAGGATGTACATAACACAAATAATTGAAATAATCCTGTTTAAACATCTAACAAATATTTTAAAGGAAAAACAAACAACAATATACAGAACATTTGAATTATTGGAGCTGTATTTCCTTATTTTATTTCCTTAGGTAATATTAACCCATTACAGACATGTTTTGGGTGTTCCACTGGACGACCGAAAAGCTGTCAACAACGATGCTATCCATAGTACAAAGGAACTACCCACAGTTCCACATCGAGAGAGCCCAACACCCATCTCTTGGCCTGAGGAAGAAACTATGGCATCTGCTAGCCTCATCACCTTGTTCTGGTCCCTATCTGTGTCCAGCTTTGCAGTTGGTGGAATGATTGCTTCATTTTTTGGTGGGTTGCTTGGGGACCGGCTTGGAAGGTAGGCATATTTCAAAAATAAGTATAAATACAGAAACTTCAGTAATTGGGGTTTGTATGAATTTGTTTGGAAAGAAATCATCTTTCCTTTTGTGAATTAGTTTTAGAGTTGTTTTTTTCAACTCATGATCCTATGAGTTAGGTTGGTGTTGGACCAAATGATGGACAAATCTGTTGCAACAATCTGCTTAATTGTGGAAGCATTTATAGCAAAAGTGAGTTTGCTGTGTATTTTTATTTTTTTGTATTTTTTTTTGTAGGGGGAGGTAATTAGGTTTATATATTTATTTTTAATGGAGGTACTGGGGATTGAACCCAGGATCTTGTGCACGCTAAGCATGTGCTCTACCACTTGAGCTACATCCTCCCCCACTGCTGTATATTTTTAGATTCTCTCACTCTATAACTTGTAAAACATATTCAGAAACAGCTGCACAAATGGTGAACTCAGGAAGTCAATAGAAGAGTCAGGAGTGGAATTTTTAACCTGGAAGTTCATTTTGGCTTCACCAAATCACTCCATTTCTCAGACATACGGGTTTTCATTTTCAGGTTATAATTTGGCATTTGGATCAGTCAAGTCCTAAGGTCAAGTCAATAACCCCAACTCCCAATTGCCCAATATACTTGGCATAGGGTGCCTAGCTGCTGCTACTGCTATTTCAAAGCCCCAAGCAGAAAAGTTTATTTCTGTACTCTGGTTTCTTTCAGGTGTTTTGGATTAAAAACATCAGTAGAACTTCTTTACACTCAAATTTCATTTAGTCATATGACATACTAAGTCTCCTAGGATTCCCCCACCTCCATAAAGAGGAAGTAAAAAATCAAATGGTTATTTCTTTTGATTTATTTTCTGCTCTTTGAGTCCATCTTTTGTTTATTACTTTGGTTCTCATGATAAAAATATACAAATATGGAAAATTTAGAAAATGCAAAAACTTTTGAAAGTCTAATTAATATAGGCAACTATCTTAGTAATTTAATAAAAACTATCTTTTATAATTCACTTAGCTTTTTAAATTCCTATTTTAAATTATAGTTTTAGCTCTCTGGTTATTAAATTCTGATAACTTCTTCCTCTGTACTGGAGCTTTTATAGAATAAGACTGGAAGAATTTCTCTTAAGTAATGGGTAGCATGGTAACCCAAGTTTTATTCTTGTTCTCATTTGAAAGGGACTTTCCTCTACCACAAAAGAAAATGGTTAGTTCTTCTTTTTATCAACTTACTGGTGTTTAGCTGAACTTTAAATCAGTATCCGTAAATTATGGAGGTCATATGCTGGCTTTATTTATTTTAAAAATTTGAGAGTCATTTTAATTTGCACATAGTTGGTTTAAGCAGTAACTGGAAAATTTTCTGAATTAATTATGTCTAAAATAAATAAAATTAAGCAAAACTATATGAAATTTTTAAATGTGGACAGACCAAGTCTTTTAGCAGCTTTTGATGTTTTATACTTCTCATCCCTGAAGAAAAAATTAAAGCCCTTGTCCCTCATTTAGAGATGAGAGTCTAGCAACTCAGTAACTTCTCTAAAACATTTAATTGGTGTCCTAGTGATGGAACCAGGATACATGTCCTCTCAAGTCTCAAGATTTAGCATCAACAATGGTCAGACCCCCAAAACAATGTCAAATGAGCATTTATCAAATCATTTATGGTGAACTAAAAGTGACACTTCTTCCAACTCTCAGTAGAAAAATGATCCTCCTTGAAAAACAGCCCTAAAATTAATCATTTTAACTCCAAAATTAAGACAAAATAGTCCAGCCTCTCTCATAAAACTATTTTTCTAGGGAGAGACCCTGAGAAATGACATGAGTGTCCTTATTGCCAAGGTCATTGCTCTACTAGTTAAAGTAAATAAATAAAAATATACCTTTCCTCCACTGCTTAAAAAAAAAAAGTCTTTCCTTGTAATTGTGTAATAGTCAATAGATGTCTGTGGCCACTGTTTTATAGATCTGGGTTTTCAAGGTCACTTTTTACTTAAAATGTATGTACTAGAGTATGGTGGGGGTGACCACGGTTGTGCAATCCACACTACCATGCATCAAGGAAAGTATCCATAGCTTGCCTTTGAATGCATTCTGTCTTTGCTGTCAAAAAAGGAACTCACTAAAATCAAGCATTAACCTTTGGTTCCACACAGACCAAGTCTCAGCTCTGTCACTTAATAGCTGTGTGAAAATAAGCAAGCTATTTATTAAATGAAAATGAATAGGAAAGGTTTAATACACCGCCTGGCACATGGTGAGGAGTCAGCAAACATAGACGGTGATGATGATGATGGCAGCAATGACAAAGCCTGTGCTAACAGAAGTATTTAGAGCAAGATTTAAGGAGATATGCTTAGAAATATATTTCTTTCTCCCTGATTCAACCATTTCGTGTATTTTTAGATTATTTATTCTTGGCCATTTCTCACATCTGAGCAGAAGTTAAAATCCTTTAAGTTGTATAAAGTGCTCCAGCATCCACCTGTGATAAGGAAGGGGGACTTTAGAACAATCTGGCATCAAAAATACTTTTAGGTTATCTCTTTTATGACTTTTCAAACTTTTTTCCCACTAATAAAATACACTGTTAGCTAGCTATCAACCATAAGGTAGATTATTGAATTTACCTGTCCTCTGTCCTTGTGTAGAGAAAAAGCCCTTCCCAGAGAAACACGCCTGCCTTTTCCTACTCTGCAGCTCCGAGCTGGCTGGCTCCAAATCACTCTATTTGCCTGCCTTTGGGTAGTTTATAACTTTCATATACTAGTTTCCTATTACTTCTCTAATAAATTACCACAACTTAGTGGCTTAAAAACAACACAAATGTGTTTTCTTACAGTTTTGGAGATCAGTAGCTCAAATTCAGTTTCACTTGGCTGAAGTCAAGGTGTCAGCAGGGCTCATTCCTTCTGGAGTCTTCGAGGAAAGAGTCCATTTTCTTGCCCTTCTCCAGCTTCTGATGGCCACTTCTATCCCTTGGCTTGTGGCCCCTTCCTCCATCCTCAAAGCACATCACTCCAGGCTTTGCTCCTTTCATCACATCACCATCTCTTCTGCCTTCCTAGGATAAGGATCATGGTGATTCATCATCACTGGGCCGAAATGGATAATCTCTTCATCTCAAAATCCTTGATTTAATCATATTTGCAAAATCCCCTAAGTCATATGAAGTAACATATTCATTCCCAGGATCTGAGGATAAGGATGTGGACTCTTGTGCGGTATTATTCGGCTTATCATATAGTTTCATTGCAGTATGAGATTATATGGTTTTCTACACCAGAAAAAAAAAAAATCGGTTTGGTGTTTGATATTCCCTTAGTAAAAGCACACCTATTAAAGTTTGAAACATTGAAATGGAACATAATAAGATACTTACATTTATTTGTGACACAAACGTTTTCATACCTGTTCACTCAGATTCTTTTATTGACCTTATTATCATCGATTGAACTTTGAAGAAGGTTTTTGTTTCACTTCCCTATTTTATAGGAGGAAAAGTGTCAGATATCTGCAAGTGTTGTCAATTTTTCATAAGATTAACTTTGAAAACGATGTTTTTGTTGCTGTTGTCAACTTTATTATGCACTTTACATTAGTTGACATTAATTCATACATTGTGGAAGTATGCTGGCATACAATGATAAAATAAGAATAATTATAGTTCTCTACGATAAGGCTTAAAGTAAAAGCGTGTTTTAATTTACTTCCAAATAATTCATACTAAAGAAACCTGAACTTTGAAAGTTCCTTTCATGATCTATAGCAACAAAAAAACTATACCATTAAAAGGAAAAAAGGGCATCATAGGTTACAGCCACAGAATTGAATTTAGCTAGCACCAGGCAATTATTGTCTAAAACAATCAACTTGTGGAAAAATCTAATTGTTAACTACTTGAAAAAGTGCCAAAAGAGTTACCTTAAAGCAAACTAGTCATCATTACAATTGAATCATCTCTGTCAAAATGTGGAGGTCAGGCACATGCAACACAAAATTCTCTCATTATAAATATTACTTATTAGTAATGCTTTAATCCAAAGACAAATCAAAGTAGCAATCACGGTTTAAGATTCCCCAACTATCTCTATCAACAAAATTAAAATAGTTACTCTTAGGTAAAAATCTCAGCATGCTCTGAAAGCAAATAATTTTTATCGAGATTTGATGCTGAATTTATAATCCTCGCTTTTCAAATTTTCAGAATCAAAGCCTTGTTGGTATCAAATATTCTCTCATTAGCTGGAGCTCTCTTGATGGGGTTTTCGAAACTGGGACCATCTCACATTCTTATAATTGCAGGAAGAGGCATATCAGGACTCTACTGTGGTAAGTCGTGCACACACGCCCACCCACACACACAAACACACAAACATATGTGTCTGAAAATTATTCTAATGGCAGATGAGGTTACATGCAGGGAACTTTTTGAGCCTAGGGTGATGTTACAAAAGGGAAAGGCAGTAGCATAAGGTTGCAGTCCTAAGTTAGGGAAGTTTGGGACCAGTAAGTGGAAGTTGTAAAGCTATGTTCTTATCCACAGCAATGACATCATTTCTAGTCATATGATCTCAGACAAATTACTTAACTCTCAGCTTCCTTATACATTAAATGAGAAGAGTAACAATATCTACTTCATGGGGCGTTTGTGAGAATAAAATGTTCAGCATGGAATCTGACTAGAGTAAGCTGCCAAAAGTGCCAGCTGTTGTTATTACCCCTGCTGTTCAGTAGACAGGGGAAGACTGCTAGACTAACTACACTCCTCTGGCCCGCCTGGCCACTGATGTCGCCGTCTCTCCTATCTGGAAAGACCTTGACATCCCGGCCCATGTCTCAGACCACATTCCCCAGCCCTCTCTGCTGGCTGAAGTGTTACAGGGGTGGGGACCACAGGGAGAGGGAAGCGGGCAGAAGCAGCTGCTAGAGGAGTTCAGAATGGAGGGAAGACGCATCACCTAAGAACGTCACGGTCTAGTCACTATTTCTTGGAAATAGCTTTTCAAACTTCCTGAAGCAACTTACCAGCAGAGGCCTGAAGAAAGGGAGGATCCCTCATTCTCTAAAATGGCCAAATCTTTTGCTTCTCAACGCCAGTGACACCCATTGTCCCGAATCACAGCCACATGTCAAACCACTAATATTCTTTGGGGGTGGGAGAGGAGACATGAGGGCACAAAAGGGTGCATAAAATATTTATAACATTCTTACCTGAAAAGAAGAAAGACTGTAATTCGATGCATCTTCAATGATCAGTTAAAACAAAAGTCTTAGGTTACTTAATTAAATGTCTCTGTGTTATTTTCAACATTAATACAAATAACTGAAAGTGAGGATAACTTTATCCAGGTAAAGAGTCAACTCACTTGTGGAAAGAGCTTTGGATTCAGAGTGAATCAGTTGTGGCACTGTCTCTGTGTAGCCTTTGTAAGTGAATATGAGACTCAGTTTCCTCTTCTGTAAAATGCTACTAATAACACTATCAAAGGATCCAAATCATGATTCCTCTTTCTTTTCTCTCCATTTCTGGAAATAGAGTAGAGGAAAAAATTACAAAATATTTTTGATAAAATTGAAAATAAATGCTATATAAACATATTGTGAGGCAAACTATCACTAGCACAGCTAGGTAACTTACACCCTCCAACCACCTTTTAAAATTATGTCTGGACCTATTATAAGCATTAAAATTGCCAAAAATTATTAGAAATACAATTTGACTTCAGGTTCACATGACTTCAGGCCTGCAAGCTTATTTGCATTTTCTGTTCTTGAGGTATAACATTAGGTATTACACAAAAATAGTACAGCCTGGAACAGGGCCAAACACATGTTTTTTCTTCTTATTTAAATCAACAGACGCACATCAGAGTTATTTGTAAAAGTCAGAAGAAATTCAGATGCTGTATCTACCATGCAAATGTTCATGTGAGATATTAAGGACAATTTGAAGCATTAAAAATATATATATTGAAACAGTTTCCAAAAGCATCTGTTACACAAAGACCATCCATTTCCATTTGATTGGCAGGCAGTCTCTCTAGGAGGAAGCCTCTGACAAATCTTATTTTTAAATTCTTAAGAAAATACAAAACATTATATTCAGCCTTGTTCATTGATAGTCTCTGACCTTTTTCTGCACTCAGCAAATGACTGGATCCTCCACCATTTCCAACATGATCGATTATATCTGCATTTAAGAAAACTATAGAAGGCAGAATGGCCTAGTGCTTTTCAGTTTTTTTTGTATTCCTTTAAATACCAGAAATCTTTATGCAAGTACAATCTTTTCTGAAGCCTATTATTTGGAGAAAATACAGAAGAAGCTAGGTTGCTGTGGTTGGAGCAATTGGGAGAAGAGCCCCGAGCTCCTCATCCCCTTCCACCTCCCTACATGCCAACCCCCGACCCTAAGTGTGATCTTGGGCACCTCCACACTGTGAGAACTCAGGCAGCGCTTGAGGTTCTCGCGCTAACGCTCTAATACCCTGTGATCTTGGGTAGGTCGTTTCTCACCTTTACCAAGTAAAGAGTTTGGCCTAGATATTTCCTAGTTTCCTTTAATCCCATGAATCTAGATTAAGAATGGTATTGTGTTTTTAAGAATATTGTTAAAGCATTTTTCAGTCTCTTTTCTGAAGATAACCTAAGGTGTTATGATGTAAACTCAATATTAACATGGATTTTTAACTGGATGAGCCAATGCTATGAATAATTGCCAAATGCATGACCAACCATTTCTGTTTGTACATCCAACTACAACTTCATTTGGAATCTTGTCAACAAATATTTTTTGCATAAACTCTGTCAGTGGTTGGGGGCAAGGTCTCTTCCTTCCAGTGAACTCAGGAAGGGATTTTCAGCAGAATGCTGACTGTACTTAAACAAAATTACTGTTATTGAGGTAGTCCTGACTACATTTTAACATGTATGTTCATGTCTCATGCAGGGCTAATCTCGGGCTTGGTTCCAATGTACGTTGGTGAAGTTGCTCCAACCACGCTCCGGGGTGCCATGGGTACTCTTCATCAGCTGGCCATTGTCATGGGCATTCTTATTAGTCAGGTGAAAACTCCCAGCCCCTATTTCACCTACCCTCTACTCTACCCAACGTCTCCCTCCCTAACTGTCCACTCTCACTGTAGACCAACGCAGAGGGAAAAAAACAGTTCCACAAGTGGTAGTGGATGTGGTATAGAGATACTGGCTTTTTAGCTCAAAGCTAACGTACTGCTACTCCATCCCTCACTTTTCTCCCTGCAGTTGTGTGGGGGTTGGTGCTGGAGGTGACCTGGTAAGCGAAGTCTTGAACCTCTGGAGCTATTCTACTATTAAATTATTCCACTTAGATTTCAAGGAATAAAAAATATCAAATCTCTGTCTGCCTGGGTTTCCTTTGTTTTGAGCATCTTACCTGCTCAAATTTAATGTGCAAATGATTACAATAGCAGTTCTTACTCAGCTGGTCTATTCTTTCCTTCTATCCTGTGGTCTCAGAGGGCTTCTTCGGAACCTCACACCTGACTATCCAGATGATAAACTCCTTGCAATAGGGATCACAAAACTGGTTCTCATCAGAGTAATTGCTCTAGCTGTGTGACGCCATCCTATTTAAGTTCTGGATAATCGAAGGAGAATTTTTTTTTTACAAAGGTCTAAAGTTATGCATGATTTTTGCTGTCGTTTCAGATATTGAAACGTGTACTTAGCGGTTTGGTTGAGGCCCATCTTAAATGTCCCATAGCAGTTAATGAAAACAAATCTAGGTGAATCCTTTGTAAAACAAAGTGTTCCTAAGTCAGTTAAGGTGAGACTACATGAGCAATAGTTCCCATCTTATGCATACTTGTGCATACTTGAATCAAAGTTGTCAGGGATTGCTATTAGCCAGTGAGTTTTTCAACAAATTGTTTCAAAAGGTAGGTCCAAAGTCTTATGCAGTCAATATGCTTCCTCCCTGCCTTTTCAGATTGCTGGCCTTGACTTTCTCCTGGGCAATCATGAGCTGTGGCACATCCTACTTGGTCTAACTGCTGTGCCAGCCGTTCTCCAGTCTCTGCTGCTCTTCTTCTGTCCAGAAAGCCCCAGATACCTTTACATCAGGTTGGATGAGGAAGCCAAAGCAAAGATAAGTAAGTCTATGGGTGGTTTAACTCTCTTCCTATTGTTTTGGAACTATCAGCTAATAAGAAACTGTGTGCATAAATGGATACTCATGAAACTGGTACCAGCGCTTTCCAAGTGAAGTTAGTGGTTATATGTAAGAAGAATATGTGAGATCACTTACTAGGACTGGCGCATGCCATTTTCCAACCATGAACATTCACACAAGCCCAAATAGAAAATCTACACACAGAGAACTGAACTCAGAGTCTTGTAGAAGACCTTTCCCGCATTATGCTTCTATGACAAAAAAAAAAAAGATTATAGTTTTCATTGTCGTGAGATAAAGCCAAGTGTTCTGCGTTTTCTTAATAAAAATAGTGAGATTTAATTTAACAAGAAAGAATTTCCAACACCCATGCTATTAAGTAATAGAAAGGGCTATGCAGAACTATAGCTCTTTCATTAAGGTAATAAAACTAAATTTATTTTTGTTTTGACCTGAGTTGTGTCAACCTGATCATTTTGGGGGACAGGCTTGAAAAGACTCAGAGGGAGTGATGATGTCACCAAAGACATCATTGAGATGAGAAAAGAAAAGGAAGAAGCATCAAGTGAAAAGAAAGTCTCCATAATTCAGCTCTTCACCAGTTCCACCTACCGGCAGCCCATTCTGGTGGCACTGATGCTGCACATGGTTCAGCAGTTTTCTGGGATCAATGCGGTGAGTTTAAGAACACGCCCTAACTCCTAAGAGCAAAGTGAATTAAGACAGAGAAGGAAAGGGGTTTAAGTTTAAATAACTAGCAGACATTTCAGAATGTTGATATCACATGTCTTATTACAACAAATATATTGAATGGGCATTAATTTTCTTTGTTTTGCTTCCTCTGATTTCTAAAACTAGCTTAAATTTTTTTTAATGTCAGTAATCAATGTTACTGTATGTCTATTAAGATGACGTTTAAAAGGCAAGTCATAATAAACACAAAAGAGGGGAGAGAGAATAAATATACCAAAAAGACTAAATTACAAGGGGCTTCTAGAGTTGAGTATCAAACTAGGATTTCTGAGAACCTAGGCAAAAGGAATCCATGGTTCCCTCTATTTAAATAAAGTATACCAGATATCCAGATGCAAAGAAGTTTCTCACCATCCCAAGAAACTTACACCCTACCTGGGGAGCACATAAAATACATAACAGAGTGAACTTATATGTTATCAGTGAGTGAGGGTAATAAAAAAGACATGATTGAAAAACATACTGTGTATTAAACTAGCAGCATTTAAGTTTTGAATTCCAAACCTTGTATTCAGACTAAAACTGTTCTACTGACAATCAGCTACTAGAAGAAAATAATTAAGCATTTGTTAAGAAACTAGATAACGAAAATCACATCACCTTTCATTGCTGTTAAAAATGTGGTTTGGGCTTCTATAGTGAATCACAGATTCGCAAAGGCACTGTGGGTGGACTGATCGGTGGACAGAGACTTGGGGAGACAAAGAAATAATTCCCATGAGCTGAAGTAAAAGGAGACCTGAGCCTTACTCCACAAGCTAGCTGCCACTCTGCTGTGGTCTCTGTCCTCCTCTAAGGGGCCCCTGATGTCCATTTTTATCTCTTAACTCTGTAACTTTGGGTCTCAGAGACCAAATCTGTGTCCTTTCTCTCAGCTCTGCCTGTATACCCAACAGTGCAACACTTAATCTCCCTGAACCTTCCTGCTTTAGCTTCCATCCCAGCGCCTGACTCAGAGGCATCCAGGAAATGTTCAACCAGAGACTATGGGGCAGCCTGAAAATGGTGGGATAGCGTGCAGTGAGTAAGTCATTCCTCTCTGAATACGGTCTGAACAGTCCTCCTGCACCAGCCCTGTCTGCTGGAAGAGGTGCCTGCAGTAGGGCATGTTACCTGGGGAAGGAATGACAGAGGATGATAGATTAAAAAAATGACCTAAATAAACATAAAGACTTCACTAAATAATAAAGGCCATTAAGGAGGTTGTGAGTCAGATTTTTTTCAATTCCACTAAGATTAGTGGGAAATTTTGGATTAAATGCAATGACAACCAGAACTCTTACACACACTGGTGAGAGCACAAATTGGCACAACTTCTTTGGAAAACTGTTAGGCAGGGTCTGTCAGAGCTGAGAACATGCATACACTATGATCCAGCAATCCTAGTCCCCAGGAATTAGCAAACAGCTTGTTATAAGTGTAAATGTGTACATATTTTAGCAAAAGGCTTGTACTAGAATGTTCATAGCAGCACTATTCATAACCACTCTAAATGATAACTACCTAAACACCCAACAATAGTAGAATGAGTAGGTAAATTGTGGTATGTTAATACAATAATATACTACTTTTACATAGCAATGATAATGAACAGTCTACAAACACAACAGTGTGAATGATTCTCACAAAGGTAATGTTGATGCCAAATACAAAATACATACAATGTGGCTCCACTTATGTCAAATACAAAACTAGACAAAATTTATCTACAGTGGTAGAAGCTGAGTTTCATTTGGAGGAAAGGTGACATTCAGGGGGCTTCTGGAGGGCAAGAAACAATTTATTCTTTGATCTGGACGCTGATATACAAAATACAGTTTATTTTGTGAAAATCAATTGAGCTGTACACTTAAGTGATGTGCACTTTTCTGCATGTATTTTATACTTTAACAAAAGGTTTTAAAACTGAAAAAAAGATAAAGTGCATATGTAGAGATTTCAACTAAACATAAGGAGAACGTTTAAGTGTTTGGAATCTTTACATAATAAAGAAAGACTGATTTCTGCTGCCCTGGAAGGAGAGGGCAGATGAAACATTTTGGAAATTCTAGGGACCCAGGTTCCACAGAAACAACTAAAAATAAACAACCTAAAATATTTCTTGCTTTAAAGCCATCAGTGCTAGGCTTCTTGATTAAGGCTAAACTATTATTATTTTGCAGATCTTTTACTATTCAACCAGCATTTTTCAGATGGCTGGAATCAGCCAACCTGTTTATGCAACCATTGGAGTTGGTGCTGTCAACACAGTTTTCACTGCTCTCTCTGTAAGTAAAATACCCTAGATAAATAGTCTGCTTGTTCCTCAGCCCAGAAATGGGAGTAAAAAACCTTCTGAGCTAAAAGCAACCAATGACATTTTCCACGTGTACTGGGTATGTAGGTAGAACCACGTGGGTCACAGGAAGAGCCCTGTATGTGAATAACCAACCACTGTACTAAGATGAGACATGACTGAGCAGGGTAGGTCACTGGTTCTCCCTATCTGCCGAGGAGGCCATTTGTCACTGATTTGTGAATTGACACTTGGTATTTTTGTGTAAATACCTGGGTTCCTTCTCCTTTGCTCTGTACTTAGCCCCCAGGAATTAGCAAACAGCTTGTTATTTCTGTCAATACTGGATCTTCCACTTAGATTCCTCTACTTTCATGGTTGAAATTCTTTATTTTATCCCAATGTCTTAGAAAAAACATTTTTAAAATAAACATGGCCCTCTTGATTAGCTATTTTGCTAAGCCTCTAGCAAAATTAAACTGACTCAGCAAATTCCTGTCATGTTCAGCCATGGGCGGGGCTTCCAGGTAGCTCACAAGGCCATGGCTTCTGATGACACACGTGACTGTGTGATATGAGAGAAGGGAGCAGAACTGCTGTATAACTTGATGTTATTGTTATTTTTGAAATGTAACTTTTTTTAAAGAGGGACTTCTTTTCTCCCAGTTTTATTGAGCTATAATTGACATACAGCACTGTATACTTTGTGGCAGGGAGGTAATTAGATTTTATTATTTTTTTTTTTAATGAAAGTACTGGGGATTGAACCCAGGACCTTATGCTTGGTAGGCACACACTCTGCCACTGAGCCATACCCTTCCCCCACAAATGTAACTTTTTTCAAATGTCAAATGTTATTATATACTTTTGAAATTTTGTTTTCTTCCCAACAGGGGAAAAGGTCACATATTTGTCTCAAAATCAGATACCTTATCTAAGGAATGATTCAGTATCTTGACAGTAATAATATTTAACCTAACAATCTAAGAATTAAAGTAAACAACCAAAAGACTCAAAAAACTTCCCAACCAATGTAACTCACTTTAAAACAAGGATAATGTGGCTTATTTTTTATCTTTGAATGCAGGATGTTCAAAAACCTTGTGCTTTTTAATTTTGGTCACAGTGCTATACTCAATATACTTTTAGTCATTTGTTTTTCATTCTCTGCACATGGACATTTAACTATTACCTAGACTGGTCAATAAGTTACAGCCTGGCTACCTAGATCAAAAGGCAGGTTTGTTCAGACCACATTAAACAGAACTGGACCTTGGAAAGAGGAGGATGAACAGATAGCAAACGAACACCAGTGCTTCGGGAGATGTGCCTTTAGAGATAATGCCTGTTCAAGCTCACTCGAAATCAATGAAGGCCTGGTACTGGAATGAAATCCAAGGGACTATGCACTCTCTTGTCTCCTGGGATAGTATTTTTTTACAAATCCCTCTTCAGCATATTTTTCTAATATAGAGACTACGATTAAAACATGTTATGTGTAACAGAATTTGCTATGTAAAGCGTCAAGTTATCAAGGTCAGGGTAACCCGAACTCCAAGTATGCCTAAAGAGGAATTTTCATTTTTGCTACTACTATTTTTTTTGCTACTACTGGAAGGCAGCATGAGTCTAGGGGAGAAAGAGTAGCTCCAAGTAGGCATCTGGGATCTGAGTGATGCACACTGTCTGGGGTGAAGACGAGACTGAAGATCAGGTAGACATCTCCAGCCCCTGACCAAGTCTCGACCCAAGTCAACTCCTCTATGAGTACCCACCTGGCCCCAGGAAGGGAGTCTGACTCAGTTTTCAAGGCATGTAGTTTTAGAGTTTATAATCTTATTGGTAATAATTGTTCAGAAATAGAAGAAACAGACACAGGAAAAGCCCTTATTCCTGAAGAGATGTTTCAGTTTTCTTGGCAGCTTGACATGGTGTCATCAAGTCAGCTTTAAAAGTCATAATTAAACAGTCAAAATATAGAGAGAAATTTTATGAACTTGAGAAAGGTTTGTGTTTTCCCACTTCTTTCTCAACAATTAAACGTAGGTAGGCTCTTTGCTTAGTATCCTTAAGTGATTTGGAACTCTGATATAAAATGCCTCTGAGATGAAAGGAGCTTTCACTGAAAGTGAACAGAAATATTCCTCAGATATTTTCAGAGCCTGAGCTCAGTATACGAAGGGTATTGGATTGCTATTGATTTACTGATAGATTTATGAGCCTAGCCAATCTACTGACTGAAGTAAGAAATTACGACAGGTAGTTTTTGTGTCTGTGACTCACCAACTTTGGTCGTATTCCAAGGGTAAAGCAAGAGTCTGGTCAACAAACTCTGGTCCTGGCTAATTGTAAATCTTAACCATTAATGCAAAGGTCCACAGACCCAAAGGACTCAATGATGTATCTCCTGAATTAGGATAAGAAAGCACTTTAACCTTTCGCTTTAAAGTCTTATCTTTCAAAGTGAATAGCAGGTCATTACCAGTACTAGGTACACTTGAGCTCACCAGAAAAATGCAGACCTGATTATTTTAAGGTGATCAAATTCTGTACGCTGCCCCCTGAGTGGTCCCAATTTGACTTTATTTGCAGTAAGAAAGTTGGATGAGAACAGTTGACACATCAACCGTTGTGCTGTGTCAGGGGTCTGCAGTGCTCAAACCCTTGCAGTTGCAACAGGATAATTATCAGAAGGGAGATGGCATTTTTTAATGTAGAACCTTTGTATTTTAAATGTACAGAAACTATATTCAGAGAGATCCAAGGTGTCCAGCCTCTTTAAATATTGTCCCCAAAGTGATAAGCATCGGGTGGTGGTAATGCTTGGTTCTTCCTCTAGAAGGTTCAAATCAATGCAATGCGATGAAGCCAGTATTTGTTACCCACCTCTGTTCACTAGACCAGTTCTGACACCTTGGGGAAGAACCACTCCCCTCCTCAGCTCCACGTCTAGAAAATGGAATAACAGAACTGCCTCTTTCCAGCTATGTAAGTTAAAATGACCTCTTTGGCAAAAAAAAAAAAAAAAAAAAAAAAAAAAAAAAAAAAAAAAAACTAGTTAAGTATAAAGCCAATATATCTAAAACTTTCCTAGGTATTCCTTGTGGAGAAGGCAGGGCGACGCTCTCTGTTTCTCATCGGAATGAGTGGGATGTTTTTTTGTGCCATCTTCATGTCGGTGGGACTTGTGCTGCTGGTGAGTTTGGTGCCTACAGTGAGATTTTTGGTTACCATATGATAGCACGTCTGTGTTCCAGGTTAAAGTGCTTTGTGTGTGAAAAACATTTGAGATTGACTTATGAAGTAAAGCCAGAGGAATAGCATATAAGGAGAAATGCAAAGAAAAAGAGAATTCGTTTTGGGGGTTTAAATACTGAACAGCAGCCAGTAAATTGTGCCTGTTAACGCAGAGAAGTAGTGTAGTGTAATGGTAGACCACAGGCTCTGCGATCAGCCCCAACCAGGTTCTGACGCTGGCTCTGCCACTTGGCTCCCTGTATGACCTTGGGCAAGTGCCTGGACCTTTCCAGTCCAGCACTGGCATCTGCTGCTTTACAGGGGGTCATGCATCCTGTCTAGCAATCTTGGTATGAGTAGAAGCTAAGGTCACTGGATCCTTGCTTTGCCTCTTTCACAGGAAAAGAGTGAATAAGAGTCATAGAAAATCCTAATCCAGAGGATTTCCTATAGCTCAAAAGATTTAAGGATGACTCAGGCTACAATAAATTTGTCTATGACTAGAATAACTTGTACCTAATTCAACATAAAGACAACAGGAAGAGAGCAATGTCACCTCTGAACTCCATGACAATCTACTTAGCTAAAGGAAGAAGTAGCCAATGATCCCAGTTCCACTCTTGTTTTGTTTTGTTTTTGTTTTTGTTTTCCTCAGAATAAACTGGCTTGGATGAGTTATGTGAGCATGTCAGCCATCTTCCTTTTTGTCAGTTTCTTTGAAATTGGGCCAGGTCCCATCCCCTGGTTCATGGTGGCTGAGTTTTTCAGTCAAGGACCACGTCCCGCTGCTTTGGCAATAGCTGCGTTCACCAACTGGACCTGCAATTTCATTATAGCTATGTGTTTCCAGTACATTGCGGTAAGCAGCCTAACAGTGTGCAAGTTCACGGAACAGAAGATAGAGTTGAACAGCTGTTAATTGGATCTCTGTTTATTCTCTTTGCAGGACTTCTGTGGACCTTATGTGTTTTTCCTCTTTGCTGGAGTGGTCCTGGCCTTTACTCTGTTCACATTTTTCAAAGTCCCAGAAACCAAAGGAAAGTCCTTTGAGGAGATTGCAGCAGAATTCCGAAAGAAGAGTGGTTCAACCCAAGCGCCAAAAGCTGCTGTAGAAATGGAATTCCTTGGAGCAACAGAGACTGTGTAAAGATAACCTACTTTTTGGCATAAACAGAAACAGGAACGAAGCAGTGTTTTTTAAATGACAATTTTTTGAGAATGTTTGAGAATTTTATATTACATCTTGAAGTACTCTTTTATTTTTTTAAAGAGATTTTATAAGCTCTGATCAGAAATGTCATCAAATATTACAAACAAAATATTTTTTTTAACTTAGAGAATCTATTTTGGATGGTAAGATTCAGTAATTGCGTAAACCCAGTCTAGCTCATTTTGTTACACTACATGGCAAGTATAGTCTCACGTTCTTAACCCTGTCCTTTATAACAAAGGTCTCCTGAAATTGAAGCAGTTTCATTGCATTATGTTATTGCTTCATTAAGCACAAAACTAGAAACCTGAAGACACAACAAATATTTGCATATTTAAATATGAGTAAGTTGGAATTTTCTTACCCATCAACCTCATACTAAAGGAGATATGACTAGTATGACTAGTGGCAGTAAGGTCCATGTTAAAATTGGTAACTTTGTATTTCTCCCCCTCAGCATTTTTCTTGTGCATTAGAATTTGTATTATGCTTACAATTTTATTTTTTCTGTATTTTCATGTGGAATGGTTTATTAAGCATATTAAAATATGTTTATATAGAAAACTTTTATTTTGGGTAAGCTTCCCAAAAATCTTTCAATACTTAGGGAAAAAAAAAATTTTTTTTTTTGTTATTTCGATGACGAAATGGTTTTTGTAGGATTAAGCACTAAAAGGTTTTACTTGGTCATTTAGCACTGGTTATCAGTTAATATTAACATCAATTATAAACCCATGTTATTCCTAGCTGGTTCAATCCTTTGAGCCAAATTTTGTTTTGCTTTTCAATTGAGCACAGCCTGGTGTTCTGAGTTGTGTTATAAAATACAATCAAACAGTGATAATTCTAGCATTTTGTATATCTCCTCAAGCCCCAAATAAGATAGAGCAGTCTAACTTAGAAAATTGGAAGCAAAAAATCACTGTTTGTTAAGAAAAAATATTTTCTAAATTATTATGTTTTAAAATAAGTTGAAAAGGTAGGGTTGGAGGATCCTGAGGGCGGGCTCCTGAAAATTCATGAATGTTCAGTTTCAGACTGGATCAAAATCCCTATTTAATTTTCCTGGAAAGACTGAGTTTCCCAGCACAAAATAGTCATCTCCTTTGACGTTTCCTTTTTTGCCTTAGCAGTATATGGATGCTAAATTAGCTGCTCTATTGCGATTGCTAACATTTCTTGTACACTACCTGTGTGCCAGGCACTGGTATAAGTGCTTTTACCTATGTAGGCAAATTGAAATACACAGATGATTAAACAGACTTTCACTTAGTTAGTTTTGCAACTATGGAAATACAGTTCTGATAGACACCAAAGACTTAACAGTGAGCTAAACTATCTCCATGCTGTTTTCCTCACAAGGTGGAGCACTGAATCAGTTCTTTTTATGTTTGCTTTAATGTGCGTAAAAGAAAGGCACTTTAAAAAAACTACTTTTTAATAGTGGAGGGAAAAACACTGAACACTGGAGGGGGGGCTGTTTCTTTTAGTCCTTTTTTGGGGGGTGCAAAATTATTTACCTTTATGCAATTTGGCGTCCCACACAACATGATATTATTTCTTTTCACATTGATTGATTTTTGTTTCCTCTGGGCCAATTTGAGATAAACTATTTTCACTTAGGACTTCAGGACACAAATAAGCTAAATAATTCAGTCGACCTTTTTGCTAAACTTTGAACTCTGAAAAAATGTAGGGACTCCGAATAGGGTAGGAGCAGGAAAATGGCTCATCATGCGGCTCCTGTCTTCTTCAGGATGCTGATGGCCTTGGAGAAGCCCACAGTTGCACTGATAAAGAAATGTAGCATTTTTACAGGCAATGAATGTGATTTATTCAAATCACTATTCCTGATCTCCTTTAGAATAAAGTAGTAAAGGTTTAAATAAAGAACCCAAAGACACATCCGCTAATACCAGAAATTCAGACCATGAAGTTTTCTGCCTCAGAGAAATATAAGTTGCGTACATTGTTTCCTTTCTATAGTTTTTTCCTTGCAGAGATACAAGTGAGTTTAAAGAAACACTAAGATGAAATAAGAGTTCAATTAAAAAAAAAGAAATTGGAAAGAATACTCTCAGCTAATACTGACAGAAAAAAAAGATGAAATAAGAAGCTGTGGAAACTTTATACTAAGACAAAGGAACTAGCTCAACATGATAAAAACTCCTAGGTCTTCAACAATATACATCATAATACATAATAACAGCGGCATTAATGAGACTTAATCCCAGGGAAATTAGATGTGAGTTTGAACACTTGATTTTCATAGTATGCTGTCATTTTTTGCGGCAGTATTTTCACACTCTAACATCCTTACAAATGTGAGTTTTCTCTTTGCTTGCTTGAAGCATGATCACACTTCTTGGTCTGGCCACTCAACCGCTGCATCTAGTGTTGCCCGCTGTCATGAAACCAGTGCAAGGATCTCCCCTCACTGCCTCCTCCCAACTCTCCTCCACATGACCAGCACTACGATGTGCGCTGAGACACAGTTAGAGAATGCCCCTCCTCAAAGAGCTCAGTCTATGGAGGATTTCAGGAAGACCAGGGAATAAATGTCCCCATCTCTGTCTTTTGCCTTCCATAAAACTCAATTTGGAGGCCTCTCTTGTAAAATAGGTTCAATAATATGTCTACCTCAAAGAGTTGTGAGGATGAAATGTAAAGTGTTAAGCGGAGTGCCTGATACAAAGAGGGTGCTCAGTAAATGTTACCTAGAGTAAGAATTCATGAAGCTACTGTAAGGATACAGGATTATCATATGTAAAATAGTTCCAAATTTTTGTTTTAAATTAAAAAAAAGTTTTATAAATTCAATACAATATTTTCTTCACTTCAAGCAACAAGTTCACAATGACAAGGGAATGGTAAGAATTAGGGGAGATATTAGGCCATTTAATTCTTAAGCCCACACTTGATATTTCTAAGTAGGTTATAGGAGTTTTTATTATATTTTTTGAATTTGCTTTTGCCTAAGTTATTTTTTGAGGTCTATATATAATATTGTTTCTTTGGATAATACCGAGTACAAAATAATATGCTATATATCATAGTTAAATGTAGCTTAACAGGATTATAGTCACAGGACAAGACCAAACCTTCTTGATAATCCTCAAAAATTGCAAAAGGGTATACATCAGTGTACACGCATAAGCTACTTCTTCTTGCTAGCTTATTGTTGCATGTGTAGCAAATACAGCAACATTAGGCAATATTTTGTGCTTACAGTGTTCTAAACAGAGGTGCTGAGTAAAATGTAAAAAAAAAGCAATTTTTCATTACAAGTCTATATTAGTGACCTGAGGAGAAGACGTTTATTGCCAACCACGCTGAACCATCTGCTGGTGTTTTTACTGCTTTCTAGTTTGATGCATGTTAGAAAGAATCATCACGAAACTGATTTTAGTTAAGAGTATACATACACTATAGTTTTATGTTAATAAATATATGTCCAAATGCTTAGTGTTGTTTTATTTTACACAGAAAATAACCACATTTAAGAAGACTGATATTGGTTTACTGTATGTACTTGTTTCCTTCTCACAGCATTTTTCCTATTCTCACTTTAAATAAATTGCAAAGGTCAAAATGTTAAGCATCTTTTTTTTTTTCTGGGCTGAGTTAGCATTTATGATAATTAATACACAATTGATGAAAAACATTTATATTACAAATTTTGGTAAAATTATTCATTTTAAAGGTAGTTATTTTAGAAATTCATCTCAATGAGGAGTATGGGGGTTTTCAAGTAATTTAAATATTAATGGATAGTTATTTCTTATTGCTAATGTGAAACAGTGTTCAGCATAAACTCTATAAATATTTTTTGTTATTATAGATGTATTGAAGATCTTGTTTTCATAAACAAGTAGATAGAAACAGAAGGGCCGATGTCATTCAATTCCATAACTATTTCTAAGTTCTAGCCAAAAGCACATAAAAATTAATCTTCAAAGTAACTTTTAACAAACTACCAGCTAATAACTCAATTGGGCCCCTTCATTTTGTTGAAATGAAAGAAGCTGTATTGTGAAAGGACCTGTTACCCAGTTGTTACAATTATTCTCTCCCTTAGTTTCTGGGCAGCATACCAAAAAGGCTTTACCAAGACTTAATAAAAAGATCATTAATTGTATTTTTGAATCTTTCACTTAGAGGCAACTTGCTTAACCTGATATACTCAGAAAGGGTTGGGAGAATTTAAATATTATTAATCTTATGCATTTTCACATGTATATAATAAAATTCTATTTTTATCACATGCTCTTTTTTTACAACAAACCTCTGATGAGAACTCAGATATAGCTCGTTAGCTTGTTGAATTCATGGAAAATATCTGTCATAACCTAATGAGCAAATACAGTCCTCAATGTAAAATTTATTTCCTAAATCAGATCTACTTTCTATCTGACTTCATTTTTCACTTCCAGTGAGAACCTTACCACTCCCTCCTGTGACAGCAACCTCACGTCTGAATTCCAGTGCTTCCACAGGCAAACGTGGATGACACACAGGGACTTGCTGTAAGTCTGTCTCCTGCATTTTTTACAGATGCTTTGTTTTCATGACTTTTACTGGCGTTTCCCTCAGGAGCAAATGCACTTTGAAAATAATTGGGTAAGGTCTACTAAACTAAAGTGGTCATTATCCTGTGCCACAATGTCTGAATTCAAAATATCCTAACTTGGGCCAAAATACACTATTTCTTATGCCACCTTAATTGAGGTAAGCTTCACAGATAAAATTATTTGCAAATATCACAGATAAAATTGTTTGGCACCGCTAAAGGTTTAACGCTCTGGGGCAATGCACCATGGCGAGAGCTGGGATCCAAGGAGGATTACACCAGTCTTTTGTAAAGTAGGAGAAGGACCACCAAGAAAGAGGTGTTGGAAAAAGAACTGGCCTGATGCCCAGTCACAGCCACATTACTGAACATGGCAGCATACATTTTTGTCCACGAATAAGAGGTAACATGCCCAACTCTGAAAACTGTTATTATAAGTTATTCACAGACTAAATTTTGGTGGTAGGGAGGAGAGAGGAAGAAATGAAAGTTAGAGGATCTACCCAGAAGATGCAGCATCCAAACAATGGGAGCCCAGAAGAGAAAAAAGAAAAAATCATAACAGAAGGAAGAAAATTACCAAAGACAAATCATACTGGAATTTTGCTGAGCTGAAGAACAAGACTTGAGATTGAAAGTTCATTGTGTGCCAAACACAAATAAACAAGCAGAGCCCAAAATTTCATCATGAAATTTCAGAACACCAGCAATTAAAAATACATATAAAATCGTCTAGAAAGGAAAGACAGGGTACGTACAAAGAAACAAGATTCATAACAGCATGTAATATCCAAATGTAACTGTGGAAGCTAAAAGGCTGTGGAGCAATACCTACCAAGTTCTGAAGGAAAATGATTTTTGGCCTAGAATTTTGTCCCCTAGACATATCATCAATTGAGTGTAAAAGTAGAATTATTTCTATTTCCAGGCATGTAAGACTCAAAAATGTATCTTTGGCACCTTTTCTCATGAAACAAGTGGAATATGTAATCTGCCAAAAAAAAAAAAAGAGAGAGAGAGAGAGAGAACAGAGAGAGAGGACAATATGGGATTCAGCAAAAAGGGAGAATGAAAGGCAAGTCTCAGGGCAGGGGCATAGATGATGGCGAGCACCAGGGCCTAGAAAGCAAACAATTCAGATTGAAATAAGGAACAGAGGGTTCCAGGGGAAAACAAAACTGAAAGATTCTCTGATGTGTTTGGCCATTTGAAAAAGAATTTGGAACATTTAGGAAGAAACAGTGCCAAACACATAGAAAACTAAACAAACGCAAACAGGAGGCAATTGTGAATTCTCAGGGAGAGAGCGAGACAGGGAGTGGCACAGAGAGGAAAAGTCCCAGTACTCTACTTGGCTCGACGGCAAAGAGTATTTACATGATCAGGTAAAACACAGGCTATTTTTACAATTCTTGTCTTCAAATAAAATTTATAATAGTACTACATTATGAGATATGTGGAGAGGAAAGGTGAGACGGTGTGAGAAAAAAGAGCTCAGTTACTATTTATCATAATTAGCTGTCAACACATGACAACCCAAATCTATCAAGCAAAAAACATCTATATAAGCCTAGGTGCGGGTGATCTTCCCTGTGCTCCTGCAGATCAGCTTTCACCCTTTCCACCCTGCTTTGTGGCTCAAAGGCTGATCTCTTCTGACTGTATCTTCTGGGCTCCCAGTCTTTGGCTTTTAATTGGGTTTGCTTAATGGGCTGCCCTGGCGGGAAATGGCAGAAGGAGGGCTATTGTCTCCTTCAGCTTCCACCCTTGGCTGGGCAGTGACCGTCTTCCTCCACCTAAGGCCACAGCTCCTGTACAGCTACAGTTCTCACTGGGAGCAGGGAACCGCTCCCCCAAATCTTGCCTCTTTTAATCCTAGAGTTGGGAATGGCATCTTACTACCGTTAGTCCCACTACCACCAGTCCCAGGTGTCTTACCATCCCTTGCTTTTTCCTTAACTTGGCCTGCCCTCTGTAGATCCTTTTTTCATTAAACTTTGTTAACCATCTCTTTTCAGTAGGCCGTCTGTTTCTGCTGGGACCCTGAACAATACAGCATACAAATCAGAACATGGAACTTAAAGCTTTAAAAAAATAGCTAAACATTTTTCAAGTGTTCACCTATAAGGAGACTCATGGTTAAAGAGGAATGGGGCAGGAAACCATTGTGATGGGGTTTTTTTAAAATATATTTAATATAAGCCTTGTACTATTATTTGAACTTTAAATTATAAACATGCATTATTGTCTAAAAATTTAAAAATAATTATCATATAAAAAGAAATATTTTAATTTAAAATATTAAATCAACTGAAAAAATGCTATGTAGCACAAAAATGGATGAGATTATATGTACACAATATATTTCAGATCGATGACAGAGATTGAGAGAGTAAAGAGGGGTAGGAAGGGAGGGAGAAAGGGGAAGAGAGAAGAAGGAAGAGAGGAAAAGAGAAGAATGTACAGAGGGTAGTGGTTATTGAAAGGGGATAGGATTTCAGTTAGTGTGTGTTTGTGTTTGTGTGTGTGAGTGTCCAGATTTTCTTCACTGTGCATGTTTATTTTGTATATAATAGGCCAAAAAATGTGGGAGAAATTTCTTTCAGAAATAGATAGTGAGAAAAAGAAGGAGAAATGGGTCTGCAATTTAGAACAATTCAGGACTTACAAAGGGGGGATATGTGAATGTGTTTGTAGACTGAGGGAAAGGAGAAATAGAGAAGGAATTTTAAGATAAGTGAGAAGGATAAGTGAAGCATGGGGGAATCTGGTATAAAAATCACAGGTAGGCATAAAGGTAGGAGAAAGGTGAAAAAAGATATGAAGACATTTTGAGGCAAAAAGTTAAAAAGTTGAGATTTCTTGTATCAGATTGACAGGTCCTTTTCCGCAGAGAAACTAGTAGGTGAGCTCCTACGGAGTGGGAATGCTAGAGATCACTGATTCCTTAGCCAACTCCTATAAAGCAACTGCACCCTAATGTTGATTATAGAGTCCATCTTGGGCTGATCACATAATCCTCTAAAGTTTCAATCATTCGCTTTTATGTAAAATGAAAATAAAGATAGTATGGATTCTGTTTAAATTATAGGTTTTTTACAAGATACAAATAATAACTGTTCAAAAAATTTACTGAAATATGCCATGAAACACACAAATAATTTAGTGAAGTATGTATTTGTCTGTTCAGACTGCCATAACAAAATACGACTGGGTGACTTAGACAACAGATTTTATTTCTCACAGTTCTAGAGGCTAAGAAGACAAGATCAGGGTGACAGCAGATTTGGTTCCTAGTGAGAGCTCTCTTCCAGGCATACAGATGTTTACCTTCTCGCTGTGTCATCACAAGGCAAGAGAGGGTCCTAGTATTTCTTCCTCTTTTTATAAGAACACCAGCTCTATCAAATTAGAGGCTTACCCTTATGACTTCATTTAACCTTTATCATCTCCTCACAGGCCTTATCTCCACATATAGCCACTTTGGGGGTTAGGGTTTCAACATATGAATTTGGAGGGACACAAATATTCAGTCCACAACAAATAGTAAAGAATTTTTTCCTCTAGCAGAGAAAAAGAGAAGACATACTGAGGGAGGGGTGAGGATGGGAAGAGGACCGAACTGCCTTGAAAGAATTAACATGTTTTAATATGATTTTATTATTGAAGAATGAAAAAGTAGCCCATTTTTGTTTTCTTTTGCTGGTGTAGCCATTAATCACACTTAAAAACTTTCCCAAAGTACCTACTTGTTAATTTCTTAAAGGACTTTACTCTCTTGGGAAAGAAAAAAATAGGACATTTTGGGAAAGGAAAAAATTGGAGGCAATATGGATGGCCCAATATTGGAATTTAGGGTTGGCAGATAAAATACAGGATACTCAGTTAAATTTGAATTTTGGAATCTCATGCACTATTTAGAACATACATACCCTAAAAAATTATTCATTGCTTATTTGAAATTCAAATTTAACTAGGTGGCCTGTATTTTAATTTGCTAAATCTGGCAATACTAAAA